TTTTTTGAGACAGAGTCTTGCTCTATCCACCAGACTGGAGTGCAGTAGCATGATCTCAGCTCACTGCAGCTTCCGCCTCCTGGGTTCAAGCAATTCTTGTGCCTCAGCCTCCCAAGTAACTGGGACTACAGGCATGCACCACCACAGCCGGCTAATTTTTATATATTTAGGAGAGATGGAAACCATGTTGGCCAGGTTGGGCTTGAACTCCTGACCTCGCAATCTGCCCGCCTCGGCCTCCCAAAGTACTGGTATTACAGGCATCAGCCACTGTGCCAGGCCCATTTCCTGTGTTTTGACCCCCCCAAAAAATATCCAAGGGTCAAAGACACCCCGTAAACATCCTCCAACCCCACCACAAGCCTCTGAAAGATTCTGGGCGAGGACTGTGACATGCATGTTTAAGGGAGAAGGACTGAGGCTCAGGTGAGAGAAGGACTGGCCCCCAGGCTCCCCACTGAGCTGGGTCCCATGCTGCATACCACACATGGCTGTGACCCCTACAAGCTTCCTCTCAGCTGTCACAGAGTCTCTCCCAAACAGAGATCCACCCACAGACACCCCGAATGCTGGGGATGGAGGATGCTCATTTGACCCATTTTAATAGATGTTCTACAAGAGCAATGGGGAATGTAATGAGCCCAGGGCTACGGATCCTGCCAGGAGCTCATGCCAGGTCTCTGGAGGAGGTCGCCTCGTCTGCTCTTCTAGACTCTGTGTCCCCTGAGGCACCAGTCCTCCCTGTCCGTGCCGCATTGCACTTGGCGAAGGGCTGACCTGCAAGGCAGACAGGTCGGCAGAACGACCTCCACACTGGGTTCCATCCTTCCCCTGCTACTTCACCTTCCCCTCAGGGCTTGGAAGAGGTGAGGACTTAGGAAATGGGCCCTGAGGCTAGGGAGCAGCTTAAGAGTGCAGGTAGCTGACACTAAGTTTTGGTGAATTGCCAGGAGCTGTCAGACTCTTGCAGGCAGCTGAGGGAACATTGACAAGGTCACCAGGGATGAACCAGGGCCCGGGCCCTTCCCTTACAGTTGTGCCCATCAGCAAAGGCTGCGGTTGGCCCCCTTCGGTAGACAAGGTTCAGACCCTCCAAGGGCGTAACCAAGGTGTAGATGTTGATACAGAAATTGTTGCTGCGTGCGCATTCCCTGCTCAAGTGGCTAAGTACTGTGTGTTCAAAATCTGCCCATTCCCATCTGGGACATAATTTGGGCCGTCGGGTAACCTCCCAGGAGTGTAAAAGGTTCTGGGACAGGACCACAGAAGATCCAGGGGGCTGTGCTTGGTAACCTAGGATGCCCTGGAGGAGACCTGGGTTCTTATTGGTAAGAGCAGTGGGTACTGTGATGAGAGGGAATTTGGGGGTCCTTTTCTTTACTGAAGGAGATATATTGGGGCCCTTTTCAAGCAGGTTCAGGTCAGGAGGACACAGGTGCTCCATTGAATGTTTGCACCAGTCTGGAATTCTAGTTCCCAAGGGCCTCACTTGAGTCAAGACCTTTGGAGTATGAGAGGCAGGAGCCAGAGACTGGACCCCGCTGTGGGAGTAGGAAGGCCTCGGAGAGGAGTATTTGGAGGGTCTCTCACTCAGTTTTTCTAGAGGAAGGATGATCCAGAAAGGTGAGGGTCGAGTCTAGAGACCCTAGTTTGGGTGAGGGGACAGTTGGGTTGAGGGAGGTGTGTGCAGGGTATGGGCCAGCATATCTGGCTGGTCTTGATTTTGAACCCTACCTGCATTTCATTGCTGTCAGTATTTCCTTCCAAGTTGGTTAGAGGAGTGAGGGGAGAAGTAGGGGAGGGAGGAGGGCAGAGCTTGGGGATTTTTAGCTCATACCTTCTCTCCATCCCACCTCTCCTCTGCCCCAAACAGCCCCTTCCAAGGAATGTCCTGTAGCCGTGGCTGGGGAGCCAGGGTCACCCCTTCTTCCCAAGTCCCCAGCTGGGTTGCTGTGGGACTCTGGGTGCCCTGGGTCCCCTTTCAGGCTCATGGTACAAAACCTGAGGGTGGGGACAGTAACACCCACATGTTTGGATGGGGCATCCTCACTGGACAACATCAGGACTGTGCTTGAGGCAATGAGAGCCATTTGCCAATTGGTAGGGCATTTGTCAATGACTTTGTCAGCTGGCAAGATGTGTGAATGGGGAATTCCCAATAAGGCAGTGATGTGTCAGCTGTGGGAGAATTTATAACTAGAAAGCCCTGGGCAAATAGCAATTGGAAATCAGTATAGGAAAATGTTTTAAAGTATTGACTGGAGAAATTATTCAAAGGTTACGGTTGATAATGCAGATTCAGTGACCATTACTGCTGTTGCAGATCATCAGTGCTAATGCCAATGTCGAGAATTACTACCAGTACGTCAGAATTTAAGTAAAATATAAAAACCCAACATTTGGCATCCCTCATCCCCACTGGTCCCAGGGTGCTCACACCAGGTCATCAGCAACATGGGTTTGTTCCCAGGCACTACACGGAAACAGTGTCTGCTGGGTGGTAACTCTTTATTTCATTGTCTAGAAGAAAGATGGGAGTGGGAACAGGGTGGACACTGCGCAGGCTTCAGCTTCCACTCCGGCAGGATTCAGGCTATCCGGGTCCGCAGGGACTGCCAGGTGCACAGCCCTGGCTCCCGAGGCAGGCAGGCAAGGTGACGGGACTGGAAGCCCTTTTCAGAGCCTTGGAGGAGCTGGTCCGTCCACAAGCAATGAGTGCCACTCTGCAGTTTGCAGGGGATGGATAAACAGGGAAACACCTGGAAGGGAGGAGGGAGACATCGCTGAGGGTTTCTCCCTGCCTCCCCCATGGAGCAGAACTTCCTCTCCTCAGCTTTCAACACTGAGCCGCTGGGGAGACTTGCTCTCACCCCACCTAAGTACATACCCCAGGACAGCCCCTCCCATTGAGGGAAATGTCACTGGGTCCTGCAAGGTAACAGTAAGCCAGTAAATCAGTGTCCTGGAATGGTGGCTGGGGAATAGGCCCTGGGGGTCAGTCAGGTAGGTCCCCTGAGGAATTGTCCCAAAGGACAGGGGAAAACTGACAGTAGTAAGGGGCCCCACCCAGTTGGCGGCTAAGGAGTTTAAGCACAGGAATAGCCAGTGGGGCTCCAAGATAGTCATTGGGCTCAGAGGCCATCAGGAGCCATCAGGGAACAGGCTTGGACTAGCCAGGAGGTCAATGTAACACCCTCTGGTGTCTGGAATAGTCAGAGCTGCAGAGCAACAAGCAGATGTGCTGAGGAAGGGTCAGTGGGATTAGGGAACAGCACTTTGGGTTTTTGGAGAACATTCTGGGGAACGAAGAAATAATCCCAGGGGCTCAGGAACGGAGAGTGGGATTACAGAATAGTAACAAGGGAGAGTTAGAGGGACCAGGGACAGGCGATCACACGGTATTGGACACAGGGCAAGGGAGCAGCCAGAATTTGTAAGGGAGCAGTCTCGGGCTTGGGGAAATAGCAAGAGAGATCAGGGACAGCCCTTAGGGTTTGGGAGCAGCCACAGGGACACAGAATAGCCAGAGGGAGCAAGAAACAAGCCCACGATTTAGGGAAGGGCCCCGGAAGGATCTCCCGTTGGAGGTCAGGGTCCAGGTACTCACTGTGCATTCCTCACAGCCAACAGTGTAGGTCTTGGTGAAGCCCCGGCGCTGAGCTAAGCTCAGACTGTTCCAGGGAGCCACGAAACTGCAGGTGGTGATGTGCAAGAGTCCGTCCTGCAGTTTTCCTAAGGAGAAAGCGGGGGTAACCGACAAGCAGCTTTTGATTGGCTGAGCCGCCAGGCTGGCAAAGGCCCGGCCTTCTGATAGGCTGAAATTGGGATGGTACCCATTTCCAGTGGAACCATTCCCATCAGAGCCTCGCCCCCTCGCGGTTGCTAGGCCGCGCCCCAGGGACTGGTTGGCGTGGCACAGGGCGCGGGGACGGTGCCTCACCAGCAATGAGAAACTCCTCGCTGCGGTTGTGGGACCTGTGGAAGTATCCGCAGACACTCTCCATGGCGGGGGTGTAGACGAACCGGATGTCAGCGGCATCCCCTAAGGCCTGGAACCCTTTATACATCTGTTGATGGATGAGGGGAAGTGTCTCTTTTACTGACATAATCCTCCCACTCCAGGTTCTTCCCTGAAGTCACATAGCATCCCAAGATCACAGCCAACTTTCTTGCACCAACCAGTGGCCAGAAGTTTCTGTTTTGACCAGGAGGAAGATGTTAGAAAATGCTGGGAAAGGGGCGGGAGCAGGGGATACCTTGGTCATCTTGATCTCATAACGCTGGTATAAGGTGGTCTGGTTGACTTCTGGTGTCCCCACGAACTTGGCCCTGATGACTGCAGGAGAGGAGGGAAATATGAGTCAAATGGACTGCATGAGCCAATAAAAATAAGATCATCATCATCATAATACCAGCAACGTGCATACATAAATAGGGGTTACTGGATGCCAGACAGCACACTAAGTGATTTACACATTTGTTTATTGATTCATCTGTATGTTGAGTGTCTCTCTTCGCCAGGCACTGCTTAAGCCATTTTCATATATTCATTTGTTCATTTACTCCTCAAATATTTGGGAGTGCCCAGACATTCCCACTGGCCCATGCTATGTTCAGTGTTGAGCCCAATCTCTCTCCCAGACTGCAAGATCCCATTGCAGTGGTTCCTGTACCCATCACCATTGTCCCGAATATGGTCTTCCTTACTGTGCTATAACAACTATCACCGAATATTTTTCTCTTTAACAGGAAATCAGGAGTACTAAGGGGCAGGGGTTAAAATTTTAAACAAGATGGCCAGGGAAGGCCATCCTGAGAAGGTGACATTTGAGGCAGCCACCCATGTGGATACCTGGGGGGAAAGTGTACCAGGCAGAGGGAGCAGCCAGCACACAGGTCCTGTGGTGGGCTTGGGCACGGAGTACTCAAGAAAGTGTGAGGATGCCAGTGTGGCTAAAGCAGAGGAAGAGCAGGGGCGAGTGGAATCATTCTAGAGGTAAGTGCCATCGTGAGCCCCACCGGACTGAGAGGGAAACCAAGGCAGAGTGTGTGGGCTGAGTGGGGTGAGGACTCACCGAGGTCGGAATTGCAGAAGGCCGTCTGTGGGTGGGGTGGGACACAGGTGCAGGCCCTGCTGGGGGCTATCAGCCACAGCAACAACAGGATGCCGGAAGCCAGGGGCTCAAAGGGGGCCATGGTGGGTTCTGTGGGGAAGAGGGATGTCAGGCAGGCCCCAGCCCAGCTGATCTGCTGACCTGGGCAGGTCATCCACCCCATCCTGCCCCGGGGCAGCCTATGGGGGGGATTAGGGGACTGGATTTGGGCTTCAGGGGTTGGGAAGCTTGGGGATTTTAAGGGGATTGGGGAGCCCAGAGGAATTTAGGGTTTAGAGAGTTGGGAAAGTTTAAATTATTGAGGGACTGAGTTGCGGGGTTATGGAGCTGTGGCACTTGGGGGAGAAGGGAGCTAAGGAAGTTTGAGGAATGAGGGGATTGGGGAATTCTGGAGGTTGAGGAGTTTGGGGGTGAGGAATTTGGGATTGGGGGCTGGAGGGGTTTGGAGGAGGCAGAGTTTAGGAGTTGTGTATATTAAGAGACATAGGGGGCTGGGGGAATTTAGGGAGGTTGAGGAATTTGGAGGAGGTTGGGGATTTGGGGAGCTAGGGGAGTTTGGAGGTTGAAGGGGTTGGGGGAATTTGGGGGCTTAAGGCAATGGTGATACTTGAGGAATCTGAGGGCAAAAGAAGTTTGGGGGCTGGGGAGCTGGGAAACTGGGGATTGGGGAGACGGGGGAGTTTAGGGAGCTGCAGGGGTTAGCGGTGGGGATTTAGGAGGCGATGAGGGAAAGTGCTGGATAAAGGGATTTGCGGGGGATTTGGAAAGCATTTGTGATATTAGGGGGTCATGGGTTTGGGAGAGTTGGGGACAGATGTCAGGGGTTCTAGGGAGTTTGGAGCCTCGGGGTTGGGAAAGCGGTTCCAGCCTCCGACCCTCTTCCCCCTAGACTAGCCCAGGGTCCTGGTACCCGCAGGCCAAGCTGAGTAGACAGGCATCTAGCACGGGAGTGCACGGGCCTGGTGGCCAGCACCCAAGCTACGGCCCAGCCCCAGTCCCTGCTGGGCCATCCCGGGCCCTGCTTACCTCTCGTGTCTCTCTGGGCACTGGATCTGCGGCGATGGCGGCAGGGCCTGAGCGCTAGAGGATAAATGTCCACGCTAGGGGCGGGGGTGGCAGCGGGTGCGGAAACCACAGGCCTCCAGGCTTCCTGGATGCATTACTCATCCACCCACCATCAGTGCAGAAGCCAAGGGGCGGGCCGACGAAAGGAGATACACCCTCCTCCTCTCCCACCCCCCTCCTCTCCCTCTCCCTGGGCCTCGCCCGGGCCAGCCCCCTCCCCCACCTCCACGTCAGTCACTATTCCTTCCAAGGCGCCTCAGCGGAGAGCTTAGAGGCCGCATTCCCCCCAGCCCAGTCCCCTAAAGTCTCCAGAATCTATCCAATCACCCACATCCCCCAAGCTCCCTATGGCTCAAACCCAAATGAGTTCAGCCCTTCAACATTTATTGTGCATCTACTGTGTGCCAAGCACACAAAAATCCCTTGTTTTGTATGTCTGACATGCTGGTGAGGGGTGGCAGAGAGGAAACAAATTAAATAGCAGCAGTGGAGGGAGATAAGGCAGGTGAATGGGGAGGAACACAAAATGGGGAAACTGAGGCATGGAGTGGTTAAGTGACTTATCCAGGATCATAGAGTCAGTACATGGCAGAACTGAGACTGGAACTCAGGTGGCCAGGAACCAAAGCCGGGGTCTCAAAAAACACAGGCAAATAGCCGGCATTTATATAGCACCGACTGTATACCAGGCACTCAGCCTAGTTTATCTCACTCAGAGCTCACAACAAATCTCTGAGATGGGTACCAGTTATTATTCCCATTTTACAGATGAGGAAATATGGGGTATAGAGGAACTGAAGAATTTTCCCAAGATCACAGGACATGGCCAGGATTCGAACTGAGGCTACCTGGCACCAGGATCGTAACTCAGGAGTGGCACCATCCTAGCAAGCAGGGAATGGTGCGGGTGAATGAATGAGCATTGGGAAGGGGGTGGCCATGAATGAAGATGAAAGAAACAAGTGAGTGGGTCAGTAGAAAACTAATCCCCACCCCATCCTGCCCTGCCCCTTCCCCACGGACCTATACCCCTGGTGGGGGGTGGGGTGGGGCAATCCTTGCCCACCAGCTTTTTGACAGTGCAGGAATCTTCCCTGGGGTTCTGATTAACACCCTTAATTCGAGGAGGATAGATCAATAATAATAATTGTAGTGATGATGGCAGCCGCTTATTGAGCACTTTCTGTATACTATGTGCTAAAGTGTTTGTATAAATTATCTCATTCACTCGCCATACTCCCTTGCTAATTAAGTTTGATTAACTCAGGGATGTTAGCCTAATAACAAGAACACAACAAAAACTACCAGCAGCCCTTACGGAGTGCTTACTGCGTATCCAGCACTGTTCTGGGTGGGAAGAAGGTGAGGAATAAGAAATTGCCTAATGGGTACAATGTACACTATTTGGTTGATGGGGACACTAAAAGCCCAGACTTCACCACTATGTAATATATACATACCACAAAACTGCAGCTGTACCCTCTAAATCTAAATTTTATTTATTTATTTTTTTTTGACGAAGTCTCGCTCTGTCACCCAGGCTGGAGTGCAGTGGCGCGATCTCAGCTCACTGCAACCTCCGCCTCCAGGGTTCAAGAGATTCTCCTGTCTCAGCCTCCTAAGTAGCCGGGATTACAGCCACACCACCGCCACCCCCAGCTAATTTTTGTAGTTTTAGTAGAGATGGGGGTTTCACCATATTGGTCAGGCTGATCTTGAACTCCTGACCTCAGGTGATCCACCCGCCTCAGCCTCCCAAAGTGTTGGGATTACAGGCATGAGCCACCGCACCCAGCCTTCTAAATCTTTTTTTTTTTTTTTTTTTTTTTTTGAGACAGAGTTTTGATCTTGTTGCCCAGGCTGGAGTGCAATGGCAAGATCTCGGCTCACTGCAACCTCCACCTCCTGGGTTCAAGCAATTTCAAACAATTCTCCTGCCTCAGCGTCCTCGGTAGCTGGGATTACAGGCACATGCCACCACGCCTGGCTAATTTTTGTATTTTTAGTAGAGACAGGGTTTCACCATGTTGGCCAGGCTGGTCTCAAACTCCTGACCTCGGGTGATCCGCCCACCTCAGCCTCCCAAAGTGCTGGGATTACAGGCGTGAGCCACCGCATCCAGCCTAAATCTATTTTTTAAGAAAGCACTTGGCCGGGCATGGTGGCTCACACCTGTAATCCCAGCACTTTGGGAGGCCAAGGCAGGCAGATCGCTTGAGCTCAGGAATTCAAGACCAGTCTGGGCAACGTGTTGAAATCCTGTATCTATTAAAAAAAAAAAAAAAAGCACTGTTCTAAAGTCTTTTTACAGACATTATCTCATGTAGTCAATCCCGATTGCCTCTTTGTTCATTAATGTTAGTTAAGGAAGAGATGTTAAGTCAATAATAACAACAGTACCCAACACTTCTTGAGGATCGAGGCTTACTATATGCTCGATACCATGTAGAGCATTTTTCCCAAAATAACTAACTTATTTCTCACAATATCCCTGTGAGTTAGATATAGCTCATGTTCTCATTATACAGATGAGGAAACTTAGACACAAAAGGGCTGAGTGACCTACTCAGGAATGAGAATGAAGAAATGGCTCTGTTGTGGGGAGTTGGGGGGGGACAAAAACAGGGAGGAAGGGAAGTAAACCAAACAAATCTGTAGGAGCTGATTGTGAAAGTGGGACAGTGAGAGTGAATGAGACGGGGCTGAGTAACCTGGTGCCTCCGAGGGAGAAGTGAGGGCAGGGAAAGTTCTGCCTTGGCCCCTCACTGACTCTGGTTCTGACGCCAACTCTTTGAAACCTGAGTCAGCACAGAGTTTTGCCGACTGTTTACATGAGGAATCGTGTGGACTGGTTATTGTGTGGTTTTGAAATGCAGAGTGGGAGGGGTGTTCATGGAGGGGTGTGTGACCATGTGGGAAGCTGGATGGGTGTGGAGGACCATGGGGGTTCAGGGGGCATGTGCAAACTGGACACCTGACAATGCCCACAGCATACCAGGTGCTTGGGTCTCATTGTGCTCTTTGTGCAGATGGGGAAACTGAGGCTCAGAGAGGAGTGTCCTTCATGGCCTTAGGAAGAGGAAAGGCCAAGATTCAGACCTAGGGCTTTCCAGGAGCTCCCAGAGTCAGAGTTCAAAGCACTCTGCACACACCCATGTATGGGCGCACACACATATACAGAGCGTTGTGCTCAGGTTCAAGTCCAGAGGAAACAAAGACAGTCAAGGAAAAGAGGCACCTAGAAACCTCAGGGTTGTTGGGGGAGGTATGGGTGTGTACGCACAGCTCTCTGGTGTGTTGTGTGTCCATTGCTAAGAGTCGAGCGTGTGCCTGTGTGTTTTGTGTGTTGCTTCTGGGAGTTATCTACCAGCCTCGGCAAAGCAGGTCTGGGTTGCATATGTAACTATGAGTGCATTATGCACTTCTGTGTGCTGTGCGCACGCCTGGGTGGTACTGTATACATCCGCCTCGGCATCATTTCCCTGGCCTGCTGCCCAGAGATGCCCCAAACCCCCGTCCCAACAACGTGCCTCTCAGCCCACCTCATAATGACGCCAGTCATTTGGGAAATGAGGAAGGGGGGTTGCAGAGGGAGGCCTGAAGTTCAATCGGTCACCCTGAGTCTGCGGGCTTCCTGTGCCTGTCGGGAACTGGGAACCACCACCGCCCCAGCAGCCCCTCCGGGAATGCCATCTCTCTACCTTGTCAGCGAGAGGGAGGGTCACCAGAGGGGCACTGTGCAGCTGCGCTGTGGGGGGGAGGGGGGGAGCAGGGAGCCTGGGGCCGTCCAACCTGGTTTCCTCTACCTCATCCGGGAGCGGGGGAGACTTGAGGTATCCCTCTCGCCTGAATGTGTGACTGTGTATGTGTTGGGGTGGGGATGCCCAGGAATGTTTTCTGCAAACTGAGTTGTGGGTGTCTCTGGTTGTGTGTAGCCTCTCTGTATTGTATATGTGGCAAGGCATGTTGTGTGTGTGTCTAGATATACTTTTTGTGTGCCCAGGAATGTGGCGTGGGTTGTTACGGGTCCCAGTGGTGATGTGAGTACCTAGAAGTGCATACACCTCTGTGTGTTGTGTAGGACCTTATTTGCTGTGCATTTGCCTAGGGGTGTTGTATGTGCGCCTGTGTGTTGAGTACGTGCCCGGTTTTGTGGAGTGTGCCTGTGGAGTTGTGTGTGTCTCTTGATTGCACGGGTAATCTTTTGTGTTGTGTGTGTTCCCCTGACAGTGATGTGGGTTTGCGTGAGGGGAGGGAATCTGGGTGTGTGCCCAAAAGTATTGATAGTGTGCTTAAGGGTGTCGAGTGTGTGCTGCCCAGGAGTGCTGGCTGCTGACCCACACTCTGGGCACCTGGCTGGCTGAATGACTGTGTGGGTGTCTGTGCTGCCCCAGAGCTCCATGCGCTTTGAGCCTGTGTTGGCCGTCAATCTCAATGTGCACTGGCATCTCTGGGTTTGGCGATGTACATCTGAGTTCCAAGGGCTCATGCCTCTCAGTAGTTTATGTGTGCAGGTGAGGCTTACATACAAGGTTGGGCTGAGGGGTTCAGTCACTACGTGCTCATCCCCCCACCCCACACACGCTTGCCTCACTATCATCCATCCACTGTAAAAACAAACTTTCTTTTTACCGGAACAGTCCCCCACGCTCATGCCATGCCTCTGGCCGGGAAAGCAGGGGCGGGACGTCTGGAACTTGGTGGTGGGGTGGAGGGAGGGACAGACAGACAGGGCTCTGGGTTCAATTCTGGGCCCAGAGGTGGAGACACTGTGTGACCCCCAGCTGCTGCCTGCCTGTCTCTGACCCATGTGTCCTGGGAAGTGGCTCATAATGCAGTTCCCACTGGCCGGGATCCCCTCAGTACCACCCCACCCCTGGAGGTCACCCTTTCTGCCCTGACCATGTGTCCTCTGCCTTTTTCCCACCAGCTCAGCAGCACAACATACCCTGTGGTTGTGAAGATGGGGCACGCACACTCTGGGATGGGCAAGGTGAGTCTCTCACTGGGCTGCGCATAGGTAGATGTGTATTTGTGCAGTGCACACCAGTCATTCTGTGTGATCGTGTGTCCTGGGGCGTCATTATCTATCAAGTTGGTGCAAAAGTAATTGCAGGTTTTGCCAGTTCTTATGGTAAAAACCACAATTACTTTTGCACCAACCTAATAGATTTTTGTTTTCTCACATTCAGCTGACCCCATCGACCCCTTTTTTCCTCCTGCATTCAGCCAATTTTGTGTGTATTTTGCTTCTGTCTCCAGCATTGTGTCTGTGTGTACATGTATGCCTGTGCTGAACACACATGATGTGGTATGATCTTTTGTGTTCCAAAGTCTCGGGGTCCTGTGTGCTTTACATCCATCTGATTTTGTCTGTGTGTATGTGGAAAGTAGACCTGTAATTTGTTTGTGTCCAAGTTTCTGTATCTTTGCATGTTGTGTGTACAACTGATTTTGTGTCTGGATGCCTATATTAGTATATTGTATATACACAGTTTTTTCACAGCTTTAGTGAGGGATAATTCACACACCCTACAACTCAGCCATTTAAAGTAGACAATTCAATACTTTTTGGTATGATCAGTGTTCTACACACCCAACTTTGTGTCTGTGTGTACACGTACAAAACAGGAGACGCACGATCATGCCTGCTTGAGCGCCTTGGCATGTCCACCTAATTTTTGTGTACTCACCTCACCTGTGTGTCATGTGTACATGCTCCCCCAGGCACCCCCACTCCCCACAGCTGCCCTATCCTGACCAGGCCCTGATCCTTGCCCTCACGTCCACAGGTCAAGGTTGACAACCAGCATGACTTCCAGGACATCGCAAGTGTTGTGGCACTGACCAAGACGTATGCCACTGCCGAGCCCTTCATCGATGCCAAATATGACGTGCGTGTCCAGAAGATTGGGCAGAACTACAAGGCCTACATGTGAGTGGAGAAACTGAGGACCCGGGAGGGGTCCCCTGCCTTGCCCCATGCAGCCGAGGTGCCTCTGAGCCTCTGTCCCCTTGTTCCCCAGGAGGACGTCAGTGTCAGGGAACTGGAAGACCAACACTGGCTCTGCGATGCTGGAGCAGATCGCCATGTCGGACAGGTGGGCAGCCCAAACTCAGGGTGTGAGGGGAAGGGTGGGTGGGAGCGCAGCAGCTCAGGTCAGAGACTGACAGGCTTCCCCGCCCTTTGTCTTGGCAGATACAAGCTGTGGGTGGACACATGCTCAGAGATTTTTGGGGGACTGGACATCTGCGCAGTGGAAGCACTACATGGCAAGGACGGAAGGGATCACATCATTGAGGTGGGAGCACCCAGGGGTAGGTGGGGCAGAGGGAGGAACAGCTGCCAGGCAGCAGCAGTGCGAACGGAAGCACTCCATGGCACAGAGGTCCTCAGCCAACAGCAATGTGCTTGGTACACTGTAAGGTGCCTGGCAAACTTTCGAAGGGGCCATCCCTTGCAATGGCAGAACACTCAGTAAACTCTAGACTGAACTTGCACATCCCTGGTGAATAGCAAAACCCTTATTAGATTGTTAAGTGCTCTGGGAATTGAGACATCTTGGTGAATGACAATGCACTTAGTAACCTTTATTCTGTGAACTGGACCAACAGCAAAGCATTTTGGAAAGGACAAAGTGCCTAGAAAACCATGAAGCAGGGATCGGCAAACATTTTTGGTAAAGGAGCAGACGGTACATATTTTAGGCTTTGTGGGCCATGCAGCCTCTGCCGTAACTACTCAACTCTGCAAAAGCAGCCATAGATGATACGTTAAACAAAATAGGTGCGGCTGTGTTCCAAAAAACTTTGTTTATGGACATTGAAATTTAAATTTCATGACATTTTCGCATGTTATAAAATCTTTCGAATTTTTTCGACTGTTACAAAATGTAAAAACCCATCCTTAGCTCATGGGTCACACAGAAGCAGGTGGTGGACCAGGTTGGGCTCGCAGGCCCTAATTTGCCCAGCCCTGCTCTGAAGCACCTTCTAAGCTGTAAGGTACCTTGGAACAGACAAACCTTCCTCACTGTGCACAATCAGTGCCTCAGACACTGGGGCTCAGTGGTGGCCATGCCCTCGGCCGACTGAAAGCACAGTGTTACTGCTGCCTCAGGTGCGAGGCCTGCCTCTCCCCTCAGGGATCCTTTCCTTCCCCCAGGTGGTGGGCTCCTCCATGCCGCTCATTGGTGACCACCAGGATGAAGACAAACAGCTCATCGTAGAGCTCGTGGTCAACAAGATGGCTCAGGCCCTGCCCCGGCAGCGACAGCGGGATGCCTCCCCTGGCAGGGGCTCCCACAGCCAGGTCAGGCCCCTGGCGCTGAGCTAGTGGCTTGAGCTAGTGTGGGGAGGCCGGCCCTGGGTCATACTGTGCCATGAAGCTGACAATCTGTAGGCTCACAGCATCACCTTTGCACACATGTGGCTGCGATTGCCAATTGTTTAAAACATTGATAAGCAGCTGCTGCCCTGACTTCCCTGAGCACCTCCCTGCCCTGCCCCTGGGAACAGGTCCCCCACCCCACAACCCAGCGTACCCTCAGCTCAGCCACAAGTGGGGCAACACCCAGCGCACAGGGAACCTGTGTCATCATTGGCTGATGCTCCACTGGCTGGTAACTATTTTTAACCTCTCCTGCTCCATTCCTCTGCCACAGACTCCCTCCCCAGGGGCCCTGCCCTTGGGCCGCCAGACCTCCCAGCAGCCCGCAGGGCCCCCGGCTCAGCAGCGACCCCCACCACAGGGTAAGTGAGAGGCTGGCGGTCTCAGTCCCCTCCCTCAGCCCGCCATCTCTTACCCGCTCACTCTCACGTGTGCTCACTCTCTCTCTCTCTCTGTCCCCCAGGCGGCCCTCCACAGCCGGGCCCAGGCCCCCAGCGCCAGGGACCCCCATTGCAGCAGCGCCCGCCCCCGCAGGGCCAGCAGCACCTTTCAGGCCTTGGACCCCCAGCTGGCAGCCCCCTGCCCCAGCGCCTTCCAAGTCCCACCTCAGCGCCCCAGCAGCCCGCGTCCCAGGCAGCGCCGCTGACCCAGGGTCAAGGCCGCCAATCCCGGCCAGTGGCGGGAGGCCCCGGGGCGCCTCCAGCAGCCCGCCCGCCCGCCTCTCCCTCTCCCCAGCGTCAGGCGGGCCCCCCACAGGCTACCCGTCAGACATCCGTCTCCGGCCCGGCTCCGCCAAAGGCCTCTGGGGCCCCACCGGGCGGGCAGCAGCGCCAGGGCCCGCCCCAGAAACCCCCAGGCCCAGCCGGCCCCACACGCCAGGCCAGCCAGGCGGGTCCCGTGCCCCGCACTGGGCCACCCACCACGCAGCAGCCTCGGCCCAGCGGCCCGGGCCCCGCTGGACGTCCCAAGCCACAGCTGGCCCAGAAACCCAGCCAGGACGTGCCGTCACCCGCCACCGCCGCTGCAGGGGGACCTCCGCACCCCCAGCTCAAGTAAGGGGACCCCTACAGCAGCCCCCGCCTTGCTGCTCACAAAGCGGGCCCCTGCCCCAGTAGAGTAGCCCTAGCTCCCTTGCTCCTCAGACCCAGGTCCTATGCAGGGGTCCCACGAACTCTCTCCAGCCTGAGCCAAGCCCTTCCCCCAAGCTTTCGCTCCTCCCGGCCCACCAGAGGCTCCACACCCCCACCCCAGGAATTTGGTGCTAGAATCCCATAGAAACTGCCCTCTGTTCGAATTCCTCCTCATAGGCCCTGGGAAAGTTTCCTCCTCCAAGGCCTCCCAGGCACCTGGCTGACCCACCGTCTGCAACTTCCTGCCCAGCCCAGAGCCTTCCCTGCCAAACTGGCCCTCCCCCTCCCAACCCATCCCTAAAACTCCTGGCCTGAGTCCTAGTCCTCCTATCATCTCGCTCTTCCACTCCACCCTCATACTTTTCCTCCTTCTCCACATCCTTCTGGCCCATCTCAGTCTCCCTGAGAATCATCAACCATCTGCTTCTTCTGGTCCATTCCAACTCCCACTCCAGCTCAGACGTCCTCCCTGCCCCACCCAGTTGCTCTGCCTTAGGCTGACTTGCCCAACAGCCTGTCCTTGGTCCAAGCCCTTCCTAGGCCCTCCTGGACACCTCACCCTTAGACTGGAAACCTCCCTGCTCATCTTCCCCTTTGTATCAAACTAGCCAAGAATTCAGAGAAGCTTCTGCCCAGGACTCTTCCCATGAATCCCACACTTCACCCTGGATCCAAGTCCTCCCAGCCTGTCCCAGATCTCGCCTCCCTGGCCCAGGACTCCACCCACTCCACCTGAGTCCTCCCAGCCTTGAGAACCTGTTAGGGTCCAGGCCCATGGTGGCGGGTGGGGAGGTCACAGGCACAGCCCCAGAATCAGAGGGGCAGGGCTGGGGCCGGGCCTGGGGTAACGTTGTGTTTCTCTCCCCTTCCTCCCCTTCCTCTTCCCCCTTCCTCCCACGCCTCCACCTTGTCTCTCTCTAGCAAATCCCAGTCTCTGACCAATGCCTTCAACCTTCCAGAGCCAGCCCCGCCCAGGCCCAGCCTTAGCCAGGACGAGGTGAAAGCTGAGACCATCCGCAGCCTGAGGAAGTCTTTCGCCAGCCTCTTCTCCGACTGATACCCCACACTGAGAACCCCAAAATCCCTGGGCAACCCTTCTCTGGGCCCTGAATCCATTTCTCACTTTTGGAGTCTCCACATCCCTTGAGAACCCATCTCCCGGTTCTCCAAGATTCCACCTCTCATTCCTCAAGATCCCTGAGTACCTTGAGAAACCTGACTCCTCCTGGCCCTAAATCCAGTTCTCACATGTGGAATCCCCAAGTCCTTTTAGAACCCCACTCCTGGTCACTTCAAGATCTACTTCTGTTTTAGGACCTCCAGATTCCTGAAGACCTCCGACCCTGGTTTCCCCAGAGGGCCTTTTCCTTCCTGGAAGTGCCCAAATACCAGGCAACCCATTGCAAAATCCCTTCCTGGAGCCCTGAAGTTCCTGGAAAACCCTATTTTTGGTCCCAAATCTCTCCAGCACACCTATTTCCCATCAGAATTTTCCAAATCCTCAAGAAACCCCTACTGTTGAGCCTCTTCCCATGGATCTTCCATCCCTCTGAAGATCCACATCTTCAAATGCCACCCAACACCAGCCCCCTCAACCTCATTCAATACCTTGGGAGCTCCTCCCACTTCCAGGACCCCTCGGTTCCCCCAGGGACTCCCTCCCCAGTTTCCTGCCTCTGACAGCTGTCTTTAAATATGCAAATTCCACTCATCTTCCCAGAATCCTTTGCACACGGAAGGCCAGTGGTCTCCGCTTCCCCACCTTTGCCGTGATGTCTGTGTCTGTGACTGACGTGGCCTCCTCTTGTGCCGTGCTTGGCATATGTGGTCCTCGTTCATCGTGCCGCCTGTGGTGATGCGTGCAGTGACGCTGTTTATGTGGTCCGCACCTCCCCCTGACCTCCACTCCTTGCCTGGACTCATCCCACCCCTCAGCGGCTCTGAACCCCAAGAGAAGAGTCGGGAAACAAAATAAACAAGCAAAGGCCCAGCAGAATTCTGTGCTTCTTGGTGAAGAAAGAGGGGAGTCCTTGAATGGCGGGGGAGACACAAAAGGGACCCCCCAAAATCCACATGGGGTGCTGGGAACCCCAAAATCCAGTGGAAGGCACATCGGGCACAAATTCCAGAGAGGTTCTGAGTGGAATCCCTGCCACAAATCCCAGCCATTGGAGATGGAGGAGCTCCCAAAATTTAGAAGTATCCCCAAAGCCAAGAGGAAACCGAATGATGGAGGAGGCAGGGGGCTCAGTCTTTGGGGGGACCCCAATTCCAGAAGAACTGGAAAAGCACATGGGGACCCCCCTCATCTCCCAGGGTGGGGAATGGGGGATCCTGAGGCAGCATCAGGGCAGAGACGAACATTGATTGGCTGGTGGGCTAGGCTCCTTGGCGTGGAGGGCTGAGACTGGCTCCCCGGTGGCTTGGGCGGGGCCTAAGGCACAAGGCGGGCTGCGCTGAGTAGGCAGGCAGGCAACTCATCAGCCTGGGTGCGGTGCAAGGAGGGTTCCGAGGCACTCCGCTCAATCTTGGGGAGTGACCGTTGCAGCAGCTCAATTGTGGCCAGGATCTGAGGGCAGGTGGGGGTGAGGAGGGGTGTCCAGAGCCCTATGGGCATCCCAACAGCCCCAGGCCCCAGCTTCATGGGGAAACACACACACATACACACACACACACACACACACACAACCTCTGAGCTTTCACATTCACATCTGCCTCCATCTCAGTCTTCCTCCATCCCAGAGTCACCCACCCAAAGTGTCCAGCCCTCCTACCCAGCCCACCTGGGGGAAGAGGGGCCGTTCCTCCCGCTGGAACTTGAGGCAGTCAGACAGCAGGCGCCGCATGGCCTTGGGGCAGTTGCTAGAGATTTTGCTGAGGTCCGGGGACAGATAGCCACGGCCCACCATAAAGATAATCTGGGGGCAGAGGGGGGCAGGAAAGGGGTGATCTGGGGTCAGGGGCTGGGAGCCCAAGGAATTTTGTATTGAGGGGCTTGGGAGGTTTATTTTTAGCAAACTGGGGTACTGTCAGTATCGGGGCCCAGAGGATTCTCCATCGCTGAGGACTTGGGAGGATTCTCTGCTTTCAGAACAGAGGGATTCAAATTTGGTGTTCAGGATTGTAGGTATCTGGGGCTCAGAGGATTATAGGCCCACGAGTTTCTAGGAGGCTTAGGGACCTGGAAAGTACTGAGTCTCAGGGAAACATGGAGTTCTGGGTCTGGGGGAGCTTGTACTTCTGTGCGGGTCTGAGGCCTAGAGGGTTCTAGGTACCCCGGCCCTGAGGCCTGCTAGATACCTGAAGGCCTAGGTGACTGTGGGTGCCTGTGACTATTCCAGAAGCACAAAGGGGCTCTGTTTCTGGGGAGAAATGGGATGCTGGGAGAAATGAGATCTGGGGGATTTTGAGTACCCAGAGCAGAGGACTATAGGCGTCTAGGGATACAGAGGGCTTTGGGGTATGTGGGGGCCTTGGGGGATTCTAGGTATAAAGATTCGGGGTATTCTGGACTTCGAGGATTTTTGTCCCAGAGGGCTGTGGATGTGAGAAGAGGGAAGTTGGGGTAGGGGAGACCCAGAGAATTTATTATAGGTGTCTGGAGCCCAAGAGATTCTGGGAGTCTTTATCCCACAAAATTTTAGGTTTCTGGGGAAAGGGTAGCATTCATCAGTGCAAAAAGGAGGGGATGTGGGGTATGGATGCCTGAGGGGATCCCTCAGCCCAGGGAACTGTGGGTAAGGTGTGGGGCTCACCTGGTCACGGCAGCCAATGTGGCTGTAAGGCAGTGAGCCAGTCATGAGCTCGTAGAGCACAACCCCGTAGGCATAGACATCTGACTGGAAGCTGTAGGGGTTCGGGTCCTGCATACGGATCACCTCAGCTGCCTACAACAGGCCAGACCAGGCAGGGGGACCACAGAGGTCAGCAAATGGCTGGTCCACAGTCCCAGATCCCACTGGCCACACAGCGTACAACTCAGAGCCACTCACATGAGGTGGGACGTGAGGAGTCCAGACACTCACACCTGGCACAGGCATCCCCGTTCCCACTCAGCCCCACACACCCCAATCCTGGAGCCTACATCCCCACGTACCCCCCATCCAGCCTGGCCCAACTCACCATCCACAGCACAGAGCCTGAGGGCTGCTCCAAGGGCTGGGCCCCGCTCCATCGAGTCTTCACTGTGGCCAAGCCAAAGTCACCGATCTTCACCGTGAGCCCCTCATGTAGGAAGATGTCCGCCAGGGTCAAGGACCACTACAGGGACTCCTAATAGCCATGCCTCTCACCCTGCCTGGGAGGTTCCTATTGGTGCCCTTATACCACTCATCCCTCTGATCCTGACCAGGAGCCCCTTAATATCACACCAACTACCTACAACCTTGACATGGGCAGGGAATGCCTGCTAGTGCCCCCCACACTCAGCCCCGCTGTTGACTTCTGAACAGGAAGCCCCTCGGAGGGCACCCGAACTCACTATGCCTCTGATGCTGACCATAATGCCCTCCACAACTGTCACACATCAGACTCTAACCAGAGTTCCCAAGAACAGTACCTGAACCAGCCACACCTCTGACTTCAGACTAACAGGCTGCCATTAAAGCCCCCTGACTGGCCACAGTTCTGCCACCTGGCAAGGAGCTCTGGGACACATGCCCCTCTTTTGTAATTCCCAGAACCCCCACAAGAGGCATCCTTCTAAGCCCTTGCGCCCCCACCTCAACCCCAGTCCAGGGACAGATACTGTTAGACTTGAGATCTCGGTGGATGATGTTCTTGGCATGGAGGTAGCTGTGGGGGTGGAGGCAGGTGGTGGATTGGCTGGGGGTTACCTCATTTCCCCCACCCTTTCCCCCCACCCCTCCCCAGGCTGGGAGGCTCACTCCATGCCCTGGGCAGTCTGCCGGGCCACATCAATGAGCTGGACCATGTCGAAGCGCGTGTCGGCCACATGCAGGTGATGGTAGAGGCTGGAGCCTTCACACCACTGTGTGATGATGGCGAATCCTGGCCGGGTCATGAAGCCCATAAACAGCAAGATGTTGACATGTCGCGTCTTCCTGCAGGCAGGGAGGGCAATGTCAGAGGTGGGGAGGAAAAATAGTGACTGTCACTTACTGTGACTTACTGTCACAACAGGAGTGGCACTGTTCTTTACCTTCTTCGGTCATTCATTTTCACCCTGTCTTTTGGGGCACTCAGGACCACAGCATTGCCAGATTTCATGAATTTGTGAGATGTGTTTACTGGGCTATGATTCTCTGCTGTGGGCTTATATGCGGAGCTTCCCCATCCGGAGCTTCCCCATCCGAGTCTCCCAACAAAAGCAGGAGGGAGGAATTGCTGCCCCTCCCCCTCCCTGCCTACAGCAGCATTTCTAATCATTAACATCCCCCACCCCTCTGACTCTGACCATTACCTGGGTCTGTGACCATCTCACAGATGAGAAGGTAGAATGCCAACCTTCCTCATTGATGTATCAATATAATATGGATAGATGCAGGATTAAAATATCGGTGATATGTGATGATTAGAGCCTGTTCAGCACCATGAGAAGCTTAGAGGTAAAGAGCTTGGAGTCTGGACTCATCTTCAAATCTAGGCCTCACCAGGTACTCACTGTACAACCTTGGGAAGGACATTTAACCTCTCTGGGCCTCAGGTTCCTCAACTGTAAAACTGATCATTGTATTAGCTACCTTATTCTCTGTAACATAATTGTGCCCATTTGACAGAGAGGAGAAGCCCATGCCGGCGTCCCCCGGGTTGGTAGAAGCTATCCAGTACTACCTGTAGTATATAGGTATACAGTACTATACTACATAGTAACTATAGCAGCAAAAAGGAGACACCTGGCTTTCTTAGCATGACTAGATGAATACTGTATTGATTACATATTATAGCAATTATAAAAATTAAGCAATGATTAGATTATGGTGATGATAATATTGTTTAAATCAAGGCATTAGAATTAATGAATAACAAGAACCAACACTATAAATAGAACATTACCGTTGTAGTCCAAGCAGAGGGGAAGGAAAGATGCAAGCCTTCCTGGCAATGTGGTAACGAGAATGGTGGCCCACACCCAGACCCAGTTCGCAGCGGCAAATAAGAAGACCCACATTTTGGAAGCAGAGCCATTCATTAATAACCCAAACAACTGCATGATCACAGGTCCTCTAAACATACCCATTTCCCAGAGGGGAAAGGGACGCCCTTCAGAAAGAAACAACTTCTGATGATGGTTTAACAACACAAACACAGGTGATGTCCAGGAAGCACTCCAAGCATGGCCTCTTCCCAGAGAGGTGCCAAGGCCGGGCCTGCCACTCCCATCCACGCAAATGTGCCACCTCACCTGAGCACCTGCATCTCATTCTTGAAAGCTTGGGCCTGCTCAGCTGTGGGCTGGGACACCTTGAGCACCTTCACAGCCACATCGCCATGCCACCGCCCTCGAAACACGGTGCCAAACGAGCCCGTCCCGATCCTCTTCAGCAGCTGCACCTCACTGGGTGGTACTTCCCAGTAATAGCCTGAGTCCCGGTACCCCAGGTTCTTCTGTGGGCCAGATGGGTGGCATCTAAGAGGCCTGCCCACATCCCTCATCCCACATCACTCAGCCTTGGTGCTCCCAAAAGGATCTCCCTCAAGCATACCACTTTCTTCTTGTCATCGGCCAAGGACTTCCGCTCACGCTGCTCTGCTGGTGACTTGGAATGTGGGGACTTCCTCCCCGAGGACACGCTGGCTGGGCTGGGGCTCCCCCGGGGGGTTCCATCACCACCTCCTCTACTACTGGCAGCTGCAGTTGCAGAAAGGATATGAGTGGAGGCAAGTGGGGCAGCGGGGGTCAGGGTGTAGGCACGGGGGACTCACCATCAGTGCTGAAACTCTGGCCAGTGAGCTAGAAGAAGAGGGACAGGAGTCAAAAAGAGGGCATGGAGGCCAACAGGAATGGCTCTCCCCTCTGCCCAGTGGTCCCTGGCATTGTTCCCCACAGCACCAACCTGGATGAGGTTGGAGTCCATGGGGGCCGTGGTGCTGACCATATGGACGTTGGGAGTGGATGTGGAGCGGATGCGCTGCAGGGGGGCGTTGGCCGGGGCAGGGAAGGGGAAGTGCTCCGGGTCACAGTGCTGAGTGTGGGGCCTGCCAGGTGAAAGGCTGTGAAGTCACTGCCAGGAATCAGAGAACCAAGAAAGCCCCCACTCCACCCCCAGCCATAAACATGCATTTAGCTCACACAGAGCGAATGTCCACTGGCAGTACTATTATTCATTGCTTCAAGAAACATTTATTGAGTGCCTGCTGTGTGCCAGATACCATTCTAGGTGGTGGAGATAAAACTGTAAAACAAAATAACAGTTCTTGCCCTCGTGGGGCTGAAATAAAAAACAAATATATAATATGCCTGATGGTGATAGGTGCAATAAAGAAAAATAGTAAAGCAAAATAAGGAGACACAAAGTGTTCCTAGAAAGTGTCAGGAAAGGATTCTCTGAGAAGGAGGTGACATTGGAGTAAACTCCTACAGGCAGGATAGCAAGCCACACAGATAGTGGGGAAAGGGGAATGTACCATATTTTATAATTATATATTATAATTACATGTACTCTTCAAATGTTATATAATACATATCATCTATATTAAAATAGCAATAGTTTAAAGTATACATATTACCATATTCTATGTTATATATACGTTATACACGATATATGCTAAACATATTGTAGTTACAAAAATATGTTAATGTTCCCTTCACTATCCTGAAATGAAACTCAAAGGTAATTAATGCATATACACTCATAATTTAAAATAATATAATACCCTAACTTTATTTTATGTATCATATAAACATGTATGATGTTCTACATTATATAACATTATGTAATACAACATGATACAATAACATAAATATACCATAAAATATGCACATTATAAAATATATATTAGAGCAATAATATATTTTAATATAGCTATAGTTTTGTATAATATTTAACATAAAGAAGCAATAAAAGGGAAGTAATTTATGATAAAATAATACATATTTCAAAATGGAAAGGCTTGAGTATGGTTATACTAGAAGAATTAGCAAAGTAGTTAGATGCTTATAAATATATTTATAATTAATAATAAAAAGAACTGATTATTTACACTATACCAGATCCTGTTCTAGGCACTGAACATGTCTTAACTCATTTAATCCTCAGCAGAACCTTATATGGTAGAAAGTATCATTATCCCCTCTTTACAGATGAGAAAACTGAGGCCCAGAGAAATCAGGTGACTTGCCCAAGGTCCCAGTTTCATGCCCTTACTCACACTTGTAGGTGCTCAATAAATGTTTGTCAAGTAAACAAATGAATAAAGTATGGCTTGTGGTCTACAAGAGTCCCCAGATCTTTTTCTCCCCCAGTAGCCCTTCACCTAAGGCACCCCTACCTGGGACCCTGGGGGGTTAGCAACTCATTCAGGGGGCGGTTCGAGGGAGCCTCATGTTGTCTGGAGCCTCCGGACAAATCCTGGACACTGTGGTAGAACCTTGAGGGCATGAAGGGTATAAAGTAAGGGGACACAGGTCAGCTGTCTGTAAGGGCCTTGTGGCTGGGTCTCTGTGCTCCCCATCCCCCCACCCACCCCAGGCTGGGCTCACTGTTGGCGGTTGGTACTCATGTCAACACAGACTGTGGGGACCTTGGAGGAACAATGCTGGTGGAACTTGTAGCCACAGGTTTGGCAACGGAAGCCATGGAACAGAAACTTAAGGCAGAAGTCACAGAATGCCAGGCTGAAGAAGGTCTTCCGTACCTGATGCCGCAGAGCAGGGAAGTTTAAGACCTGGTCAAGGATACTCCCCACCATGATCCGCCCCCACCGTCCACCCTGCACTCACAAAATTGTGCATGGTCAGCGGGACATCTTCAAGGACCTCGACAATGAGCTCCTCGCCATCCAGGGGAGCAATGGCTGTGTCCCAGGCAGTGACTGTCTTTCGTCTGCAGGGGGCATGGAAAGGAATGAGTGGGAGGGTGGGCAGGGGCCATGGTGAGGCAGGGAACCCCCACAAGTCCCTCCAAGCCTGCTACCCACAGGGTCATGTCTGGCAAGTTTAATTCTCATCATAGCAACTCTAGGAATTAGTCATTATCCTTGCCCCCACTTTACAGATGGGAACAGGCTCAGAGGGATAAAATGACTGGCCCTGGGCCACAAGGGTAATGAGAGGCAGGACGGTGTGAAGAGTCCATGCTCTGAAACGGAAGGGGAGAAGCAAATGAAACTAAACAACTACATCTTAGAAGCGCTAAGCCAGCCCCCGAAAAGGGGGCTGAGGAGGCACTGAAACAACAAATAAAGTGCACTGTGTGAACTGCATAAAAAATTAAGGAACCCCACGAGAGAGGAATAAATAAGGTCAGCAAGACCCAACTCAGCAGACAAAGAATGGGGAAAATGAGGAAGAAGACAGCTGATGAAGTCATGACATCGTGAAAGGACAAAATAGATGAAATCTGGGAGGAAGTGATGGACCAGGGTGAGGACTTGGGGGTCAGGGGAGAATGAATTGGTTGACCTTACAGGCCAATGAACCAATGAAGTAACAAAACAAAAAAAGGATGAACTCATAGATTACTTGAACTACAGTAGTCCTCCCTTATCTGTGGTTTCACTCTCCACGGTTTCAGTTACCTGTGGTCAACCGGGTGGGAAAGTATTAAATTGAAAATTGCAGAAATAAACAATTCATAAGTTTTAAATTGCGTGCATTCTGAGTAGCATGATGAAATCCTGCACCATCCCACCCAGGATGTGAATCATCCCTTTATCTAGAAGATTCACACTGTTTATGCTACCACCCATCACTTAGTAGCCTGCTCAGTTATCAAACAACTGACTCAATATCATAGTGGCTGTCTTCAAGTGATCGCCATTTTACTTAATAATGGCCCCAAAGCACAGGAGTAGTGTTGGTGGCAATTCGGACATGCCAAAGAGAAGCTGTAAAGTGCTTCCTTTAGGCAAAAAGGTAAAAGTTCTTGACTTGAAAGCAAAGAAAATCATATGCTGAGGTTGTTGAGATCTACTGTAAGAAAGAATCTTCCATCTTTTTTTTTTTTTTTTTTTTGAGACAGAGTCTCGCTCAGTCGCCCAGGCTGAAGTGCAGTGGCGTGATCTCGGCTCACTGCAAGCTCCGCCTCCTGAGTTCTCGCCATTCTTCTGCCTCAGCCTCCTGAGTAGCTGGGACTACAGGTGCCCGCCACTACGCCCGGCTAATTTTTTTTTTTTGTATTTTTAGTAGAGACGGGGTTTCACCGTGTCGGCCTGGATGGTCTCGATCTCCTGACCTTGTGATCCACCCGTCTCGGCCTCCCAAAGTGCTGGGATTACAGGCGTGAGCCACCACGCCCGGCCGAATCTTCCATCTTTGGAACTGTGAAGAAGGAAAAATAAATTCATGCTAGTTTTGACGTCATACCTCATATTGCAAAAGCGATGGCCGGAGTGCATGATACATGCTTAGTTAAGACGGAAAAGGCATTACATTTATGGGTAGAAGACAAGAATAGAAACATGTTCCGGCTGATAGCAATTGGGTTCGGTGCTATCTGTGGTTTCAAGCATCCACTGAACACGTACCCTGCAGATAAGGGGGGACTAAAGACTAAGGGAAGACTAATGGAAGACTCTGTGATAAAGAACAGAAGGAATCAAATGACTGAGGAGGGGATGGGAGGTGGGGCACCCAGTGGGTGGGCGTGGGGCTGCCACACTCACCCCTTGATGAGTCGGTAGACCACACAGCAGTCCTGATTTAGACCCCGCACCTTCAGGGCCTTGTCTAGAGAGTCGTAGACACTCATGCCATCCCGGACAGTCACCTGTGTGTATGTGCAGATGTAGGGGTCCTCATTGCCCAACAGAGGCCACAGTTGATGTTCCCATCCTTTTGCAAAGGCCTCCCCCAACCGTTGTCACCCTTTTGATTCCAGAGTTACAACTGGGTCCATCCACAGCCCCTGCCATTTCGCTTCCATGACTCACCACCGTGCGTTGCTTGTTGGGCAGGTACACTTTGACGGTGCCCACTGCCCGGGACGGCTCGGCCCCATTGGCAGGGGGGCCCCGTGGTGGCTCCATGGAGCCTTAGACTTTGTCAAGATGGGCTGAGGTGGGGCTGGGCAGGTGCCATGGGGCTCCTACAAGAAGGCAGACAGAATTCAGAGGTCCAATAATGATAGTCTGGAAGCAAAGTGGCAGGGGACAAAATAAAATTCAAAGTCCAGGCTACTGTCGCCCCCTGCAGCCTAATTTTCACATGACAGCCCAAGAGATCCTGCTCACATCTGAAGTCCTTCTAGTTCCTCCTCTGCTCAGACCCTCCTGTTGCTTTTCTCACTCATGAGTGCCAAGGTCTCAGCTTCACTGCACAGGGTTGGGGGGGAGAGAACAAGGAAGGGGGACAGAGCATACTGTCCTGGAGGGTACAGGAGCACAGAAGACTCTGTGCTGGGGACCAATGGGGAAGTCAATACACACTGCACTGAGCTGTCAGGTACATAAGAAGCACGAACAGAATGTCCTGGTTGTTTTTTTTTTTTTTTTTTCTTTGACAGAGTTTCGCTCTTGTTGCCCAGGTTGGAGTGCAATGGCACGGTCTCAGCTCACTGCAACCTCCACCTCCCAGGTTCAAACCATTCTCCCACCTCAGCCTCCTTAGTAGCTGGAACTACAGGCATGTGCCACCACGCCTGGCTAATTTTTTGTATTTTTAGTTGAGATGGGCTTTCACCATGTTGGCCAGGCTGGTCTCGAACTCCTGACCTCAGGTGATCCACCGCCTCAGCCTCCCAAAGTGTCCTGCCTTTTTAACAGAGAACGGGGGAAGTGCCAGATACTCTGGTGAGGGAGGAGTCGCAGGCAGGGTGATGGGAAAGAGAGGATCATGAGATATTGCCCTTAGTGTGGGGAAGATGGAGGTTGTACCAAACATATCCTTAAAGGGCACTGTGGACATCCCTAAGCCCTGGGGTGTAATGTTGATGTTAGGACCACAGACACCGTGTTAGGTGGCTAATGGAAGTCCCAAGACTTTATGATAAGGAGTTCATGGGTGGGGGTCACTACATACTATGCGGAAGGGAGATGTAACAGGTGTCACTAGAGACTGTAATGGGGAGAAGGGTGGAAATGGAAATGACCAGACATCGAGCCAAACTGGGGAGGTAATGGTGGATCACCAGACACTGTCATAGCAAAAGGAGAAGGAAGGTATGGTGTTGCGGGGAGAAAAATGGAGGTAAAGAGGGAGCTCCAAAATTCTCCTTGACAACCAGTGAGGGGGTCACAGGCACATTACTGGTGTAAACTGAATGGGGGATCATGGAAGGCGGTTACAGAGGCGAGAATCCTGACATTCTCCCTCCCCAGGGGGTCAGACACTGATCCAGAATAAGGAAACCGGGGAGTGAACCCCGTTTCCACACACTCCCCGCAGTTGGTAAGGAAAGGTCATTGGACACCTTAGGGGGTTTAAGACGGAATCCCGGCACCAGTAGGTAGGGTCCCGCCTACCAAAGGGCTTCCGGCTCTGCGCAGGCGCAACACCACTAGCAGCGGGCGAAACCATCACCCGCAGCCTTGCCCGCCTATTCCTGTTACCCACCCCACCCCCGCTGTCGACGATGGTCTCGCCCCGGGTCAAACCACTCCTCCGGTTCCGGGCGGGGGACGCCGGGGCCCGGGCGCAGCCATCCTGGAGCTGAGCTTTCGGTCTGGGCGCCCTGCCCGTGCCCGGCAGCCGCTCCAGAAACCGAGCCCTCCCGGGTCCGCCCTCACCTGTCACGCCGCTACAGCCACCGCCGCCTCCATCTTGGGCCTGTCTTCTTGTTTCCTCACAGAGTCCGCCTTCGCCGTCTCTCGGACTCTCGTTATTGGCACTGCGGGACTCATCCTTCCACTCTTATTGGATCAAGGTCACGTCTGTCAAGGCAAGACCAACGGAATGTGAGTCGTGTTCCGGATTAGGAGGGGCAGCCTGAAACGTCAAGATCGGGGGCAAGCTCAAGTCCCGACTGGCGCAGGCGCAGTTGGGGCAAGACCTGCGTGCCTAGGGCTTTAACCTCAATAGTGGCATAGACGAATAAAGCAGGACTTTTTAAGGTCATTTGGGGCTGACCTTAGGGCTCTGGCATCTGGACGGGGAAATCCTTAAGTACCCTTTTTGGGCCAGTGCCCTAAGCACCCTTTTATTATTTTCCTGTGTCTCAGTTTTACCATCTTTGAAATGGGTTGGAATCAGAACAAATGATCGGCGATGTTCACCGGCTCTAGGAGACTGTAGTTCATAGCCTTTGAGGACAGCGGGTCTCTGGTGTGGTGGGGGTTGGGGGGCTGGCCCTAGGAGGGGCGGCCTTCTGTCTGGGAGGCTTCCTTTAGGAATGGGGTTGATTAGGATTGTGAAAAACTAGTCACAGGTGGCCAGGTGAAGAGGGAAGTGCGGTGAATGGAGCACGATGCCAGTCAATGTGTGGAGGTACTGTGGGGTAAACACAAATTTTTAAAAATCGAATTTTCCCTGGTGTCAAAAGAGAGAGACGTCTCTCTTAGAGCATTTCCTTTAGAAAACTTGTAACTGTAAAATTTTCTCTGTCCCTTTGAGATGTATGTAAGTCTTTTAAAATGCTAGATCTCTTGCCAGTTTTACAACCCCGGAATGTTTTTCTTAAGAGCCTCGTAGCCATCTCTTTGATGAAATGTAAACATCAATGAAAATAGCACCCCTGTCTTCCTCTGTCTTCATGGGAATTTGATCTGCGTGCCTGGCTTCAAGTTATTACCTGCTTGTCATAAAGATACGAGTTTTCGTTTTCCTTTGGATAAAGGCAATTAACTAACACAGATAGCCACACCAATTACTAGGTGAATTTGGGATGAAGTATGTGTACCCAATGGTGCTGTCAGGTTTCTTACTTGAGCACAAGTTACTGTTTGAGAATATGTTTGTAATGGGCTGTATCTGCCTGTTACATAAACGGATGAGATTTCTTTTGTCTTTGAAACCTCTTTAGCTGATTGTTTGTGATGTGCATCACAGTCTGGTGTAGTGCTTATTCAGTAATAAAACTTTCCATTCTTGCCGGGTGTGGTGACTGATGCCTGTAATCCCAGAACTTTGGGGGGCCAAGACAGGCGGATCACTTGAGGCCAGGAATTCGAGACCAGCCTGGCCAACATGGCGAAACCCCGTCTCTAGTAAAAATGCAAAAAAAAAAAAAAAAAATCAGTTGGGTAACTCAGCCTCTTGAGTAGCTGGGACCACAGGCGCCCACCACCATGCCCGGCTAATTTTTATAGTTTTAGTAGAGACAGGATTTCACTATGTTGGCCAGGCTGGTCTCAAACTCCTGACCTTAAGTGATCTGCCCACCTCGGCCTCCCAAAGTGCTGGGATTACAGGCTTGAGCCACCACACCTGGCCCCAACTCCACTTTTCTATTTGAATCTTCACCATTTAATGGCTAAATAAAATTTTTAGAGAGACAGAATCTCACTATGTTGCCCAGGCTGGTGTCAAGCTCCTGGTCGCGTTCTCCCAACACTCTAGGATTATAAGCGTGAGCCACCGTGCCCAACTTCAATGGCTAAAATTAAAAAGACTGACAATACTACGTATTGATGAGAATGTAGAGCAATTGGAACTTTCATACATTGCTATTGGGAGTGTAAAGTGGCACAAGCACTTTAGAAACAGTTTGGCAGTTTCATATAAAATTAAACATAGACCTGCCATGCAATTCAGCAATCTCACTCCTAGGTATTTACTCTAGAGAAATGAAAACACGTGTCCAATGGTGTGCTGGTAAATGTTTAACAACCAACCCTCCAGGAAGAAAATAGCTCTAATTTGTACTGTCCCCGTGGCTTATTTCAGGCTACTGATGTGACAGTCGCTGAACCAGATTTAAAAGAGATGCACAAAATCTGCTCTGGTGAGCCAGCTACAACATGCTACTATTGCAGTATATCTGCACAAAAACTTGTATGCAAATGTTCAGATTAGCTTTTTCATAATATCAAAAAACTGGAAACAGCCCAGGTGTCCAGAAACAGAACTGACAAAGAAATACAACAACGGGGTTATGGAATACTACTCAGCAATGAAAGGGAACAAATTACTGACATATAGGAAGAGCATAGATGAATCTCATAGACATGGGACCAAATGAAAAAAGCCAGACATAAAGGAGAAATACTGTATTCCACCTGTATGAAATCTAAACCAGGCAAAACTAATCTATAGTGAAGGAAATCACATTAGATGTTGTTTTGAGGGAGAATGACTGGGAAGTACATTAAAGAACTTTTGCAGGTGATTGGAATGTTCTGTATGCATTTGTCAGAACTCATTGAACTCTATTTTTATTATTATCTTTTTTTATTTTTGAGACAGAGTCTGGCTTTGTCACCCAGACTGGAGTGCAGTGGCACAATCATGGCTCACTGCAGCCTTGACTTCCTGGGCTTAAGTAATTCTCCCACCTCGGCCTCCCAAGTAGCTGGGATTACAGGCACACACCACCACACTCAGCTAATTTTTAAAATTTTCTGTAGAGATGGAGTCTCACTACGTTGCCCAGGCTGGTCTTGAATTCCTGGGCTCAAGTGATCCTCCCACCTCGGCCTCCCAAAGTGCTGGGATGACAGGCATGAGCCACCTTACCTGGCCTCATTGAACTCTATACTGAAAATGGATATATTTTGCTTTATGTGTAATATACCAGAATAAGAACTGTGTGGCAAAAGAAAAAAAAAAGAAGGCCTCAAACATAATTCTAAACGTTTGTGTTTGTACAAATTCTTATTGGTTGGGGAAATTATTTTGAAAAAATTCTTTTTTTCTGAAATTAGATCCCTAGGCCCTGAATCTCCATCTCCCACTGCAGGAGTCCTGGCAACCACCTCAGTGCCAGTGGGGTCAGGAACAACTCCTGTTTGGAGCTCAGTGAGGGGCTTTGGGGAGGGGAATAGGGGAGTGCATTTTATATTTCAATTCACTTAAATTGTTTAAAAACTTTAATTCCTAGGCATTATTTGAAGACAGACTTCTGGCTCCATCGTTCAACGTTTATAAAAAGATGAGAAAAATGCCAGCAAAAGCTCGTTGCTTTCGCAGGATAGGGGGAAGGAGGGGAAGGGTAGGGGACACAGCCCACTCAAAGGCAATGCTTTCCCCCCCAAGAACTCATAGACTCACTTCACACCCATCTCAACTGGCACTTCAGCCAAGTACCTTACAGGTACCTGACACTTTAAAGCATGAAGGCCTTTAAAGTGATTTAGGTTTGGTTTGGTTTTGCGACAGGGTCTCGCTCTGTCACCCAGGCTGGAGTGCAGTGGTGCAATCACAGCTCACTGCAGCCTCGACCTCCTGGGCTCAAGCGATCCTCCCAGAAAGCTGGGACCACAGACGCATGTCACAGCGCCTGACCTTCTTGATTTTTTATCATTATCATCACCACCATATTTAAACCATTAGAAGTACCATGTATTAAAACAAAAATTAAAACCCAAACTAGCTGATTATAGTTCTCTGACATCCCCCTTGTAACTATCCATCTGGAAAAAAATGTAAAGCTATCAAAGTACTTGTTGATTTTTATTGTTGTTCATTTTAAAGTCTCAGAAACATGCCTGAAAAATTTTTTAAATCTCAAGTGTTCGCCGACTGCCGTTGTAGTGCTACTTTTATAGCTGAAGACATTAAGGTTCAGGCTGCCCTCACCGTAGGGGAAAAGGAGAGAGTGCTTCGTTAGATAAAAAGTGTTTAACAAGGGTGCGGCCATGGGCACCTCCTTAAGGAATCCCAGATCCACCCAGCAGTCCTGCCTGCCTGGAGACCTCCTCTAAAACGTGCCACTCTCATTTCCCAAAGCCGCCGACCTCGCCGACCCCTGCTGCGGCCTGGAGAGCGCCATCTCTGGGACCCCATCCCACCGCCGCCCTCTCAGCTGTTCATTTCCGGGGAGATGACCGTGCATGCACATTTCTCTGAGGCCGGGAACACAGGTTTGACTCAGGGCCCTCAACCACCAACTCAGCTCCTCTCTGCCAACCCAGGGAGCCTCGATTCGCTCCAGGTCCCCCAACAGGCAGCGAGATCTGCCAATGGCAGTGCAGTGGAAGGCGGGCCTTGGGATACCCCAGGCATTGATAGGCTCTACTTCACCACGGAGCCACTGACAGACCAATAGCTGTGAACAGGGGGTGGCCAATGGGAGGTGTGTGGGCCTGAGACCGGCTACAAACCAGGAACTTAATGTTGCTTTTAAATTAGTGATGAGGCAACAGTAATTGTTCTATCGAAATCCTTAATAAAAGTAGAATGTGGAAGTTTCCACTTCTGTACATTCCTGGAAGGGATTTTTAATATACAACCCTGGAGGGGAGATGTGTAGGAAATTTACAACTAAGTGAATTTAACCATGACTTTTTAACTGTTCTTATTAAAAAGTCTTTCTTAGCAAAATTCATTGAGTAGTAATTTCAATGTGCTATCCCTATGAAAAACACACCATTTAACCGACAGAGTTCTTTTTTTGGAGACGGAGTCTCGCTCCGTTGCCCAGGCTGGAGTGAGGTGGCGAGATCCCTGCTTACTGCAACTTCCACCTCCCCGGTTCAAGCGATTCTCCTGCACCAGCCTCCTGAGTAGCTGGGACTACAGGCGCCCGCCGCCACGTCCGGTTAATATTTTGTATTTTAGTAGAGACGGGGTTTCACCGTGTTGCCCAGGCTGGTCTTGAACTCCTGAGCTCAAGCAATACGCCTGCCTCGGCCTCACAAAGTGCTAGGATTACAGGCGTGAGCCAC